ATGTCGTAACTCAAATTGACAGTTCTAAATTTTACCCAGAGCCAGTGATGAGTGGCCAGGAGAAGTGACTGCGTAATGTGCTACCTGTGAGGAGAGAAATATATGAAAGTCCAGTAGAAATTCGAGTCATCCTATGGTAGTAGGCCATGGTAGTTTGAAGTCAGACGTCAACTATCGAATAATAGATCTTTTCGTCTTATTAGTATACGTTGCCAAGGGTGCACCACGTGGAGGTAAGTCTATCGCACACCCCATTTTACTAAAAATTACACCTACCATGAAGCTCTCCCAACGAATGCCTGTCCAATGCGCTCCCTACTTTACTCAATCTCTCATTCCCTCAACTGTTGGTATGTTGATGAATTAAAAAAAAGCAATATTCGAAGAATCCATATGAACACCAGATCAAGTCAGTTCGCCAAACCATGTCCAAATTAACTTAGAAGTAGATGAGGCACAAATATGAGTGCACCACACGCAGACAACACAACTTGCACATTGACAATTAAGAATAGGGAGATGTGGGTGTGTTTCTTGAGGGGTCCACGGTAGTGGTCAAGGAGTCAATCGCCGCCTCTCTCTTTCTAATATCCGTGTGTTAATGTCAGTCAGAGTGCAAGTAAACATTCACTCTATTCAATAATGTTGCCTTGATTCAATTGAATAATGGCTTCAACAAGCGTAATACAGAGCTCACATATGCGCAAACAAAGTTTGACAGATTGTTGCAAGAATTCGCTATGCTTATCCTCTGTCATCTCAATGAAAATATCTTCAAGTATGGCGTGACTCCCGAAATGAAGTGAGGTGACTCAACTTCATTGAGCAGTGTCTTAGTGGACACAGAAAATCTTCTTTCATCCTGTGTGTTGTTGTGCACTCTACAGAACGGCTCGAGCACAGCTCTGCAGTGAATACATCGTGGAGACTGTGAGCAAAGGCACCACCAGGACATCACCAATATGTTTTCAGCCTCATGCAGTAATGAAGTAGGGATGATGGTGGTATTGGAGTGAATATAGGTAAGCATTGCGTACATGTGTAATTTTGGCCTGTTGAGGAACGTATACGCTTATTTGTGCATAGCAATTTTGGCTGTCACTTTATTCACGCATTCATTAGTATCCACGTGCTTGTTTGCTTGCGTGCCTGAATGATTGGAGGAGACAAGACTGAAATAAATGTTTACGTGCACTGCAACTCCTTGGTCCTAGAGTCGGCAGTCTACGTATGCTTGAAGAAATGTTCAAAGGAAGAATGAATGAGATGCAAATCATATCACACCCCAACCCCACCGGCAATAGCCATACAAAGTTCACATTGCACGTGCACTCCCTTCTTCAATTCATCTGCCTCTTCCACATTCAGCAAGAATTTGTGAATATCAGGAGGTCTGGAAAATCATTTCTTTAATTGCTATGCATACGAAGTAGGTGCCAACAATGAGCGCTAGGTTCTCAAGTACTTCCCGATGTAGATGGGGCCGTTATTACCCTCGATAGTGAAAGCATGAGAATTGAAACCAAAGTTGTCAGTTTGTTCTAAAGGACAATGATGAAATGGTTCAATATTGTCAACATTTTCAGACTAGAGTCACGTTTCCATGCAATCACAATTAGCCAAACGGCAGTTTCACTCATTAAGATCGACCAACCACTGCACAATCAGATAATCAAAAATGAGCTGTCAGTTTCCCAGACATCATAGCCCACCTGCATCCGTTGGTGGTACGTTGACACAGATGGCTGTATTACCCACAGCAACTCAACGCCACAACAAATGCAAGATAGCAGTGTGTATAAACGAAGCACTTTCATGAGAGGAGGCCAGCAATGCCACCTCCTCCTCCTCCTCACTTACAACAAGTGGGGGGGGGGGTGGAGAGAGAGAGAGTGAATGATAAGAAATGGATTCGCTCCATAGCACACAATCGACAAAGTACTCTAGCACTGCTTCTGCTGTTTTGCATACGCGTGAGCTGCTCTAATTAAGAGCACTGCTTTGTTTAGGTGTGCACCACACAGCGGCCAGCACCACCCACATTATTGCAGAGAACAGGGAGAATGGGTTGTCCAATTGACATACAATTGCAGCCATTGGTTAGCTAATGAGAGAATTATCTGAACTCTGTGAGCGCTTTTGATTTTATTTTTTTATATTTTTTTAGCTGAAAATCGACTATTATTTTTCATATTGGGTACCAAATGGCTTTTTTGGTCTCTTTACCAACTGCGTCATGCATTCACCGAAATGCCATATTTTACCACCTAAATGGATTAATGCCCAGGTTTGAAAGGAAGTGGACTTCAACGTCCTAGTAAGAAGAAAGCACAATGAGATAAGTTGGTGGTTTGTTAATTAAGGGGAATTCAACTGAAACGTGTTCTTTGTTAGATCAACTGTGACGGGACTAATCGTCGTGATGATAGCTCGCTGAGATGTTGAGGCTGATGTCATTGCAATTGAGATCGAGGTATTGGGCAATGAAATGAAGGACATTAATGTTCAATTTTTAACAGGTGTCTGTGTCATGTTGACAACATGTTTCATCATATTCTGAGCGGAGTTGATTTTGCGTGAATTGAGAGGGTAATAATTTGTATCTATTATTGCAACTGCATTCGCGATCTCACCACGGATGTCTGTCTAATGCAATTCCTATGTTAATCACTTTACCATTTCCTCCACTATTGTTATTTTAAAGAATTGAAAAGTGCAACCCGAACAATGTGACGCGAATAAGGACACTCACTGCCATGCATATGTATTTTTAGATTTCCTTTACAACGAAATATTCATGACAGTTTGCAGCAGAATGCGTTAACATTGAGCAACATGTCAAAGCATTGTAGAACGCTCTCTGATGGAAGATTGGGTAAAGTAAGTCACGCACTCATGGTGTGTCTGGAACACGCAGCCAATGTGTGCAAGAACTGTCCTCCTTCTGAATGTACCCACTACTACTGAAAAATGAATTTGAGCACCAAGAATCCATGCGTGAAGTCATTGCTACGAGAATAAACAACTTCGACACATGGCCCACTACCTTCCTTCCTTTCTTCCATTCCTGAAGGATCAACTGCCCTCAATGCTTCTTCGGTTGATTCATCAGAAGACAAAACGAAATCGATTCATTAAACGCCAATGTCACTTTGTGGTGGTTGCTATGATAGCTTTGGCGACATTTGAGGTGTGATTTTTAAAATAGATTGACGAGAACTTCATAACCCTTATCCATTTTTAAGGAGTCATTGCACGAGATCACGACGACATTGTCTCTCACTACTTGTATCTCTCCATGTGTGTGTTCCTGATGAAGGAGTTAATGGCACTTCTTCACATGTGCGCGCCGTCATTCAAAGCGACCCCCCCCCCAGGTGTAACACCAATGCTACTTTGTTATGGTAACGCAAAATGGTTTAGCGGTTAATTAGGTAAATTTTGTTTGGTGTCAATTTGTGATTTGCATATTTCTATCATGCATTTAATATATTTACCAGTGAATTAAAATTCATACATTTGCATTTTGAACTATTTCCTTCTCCGTTGAAGAGTAGAATTTTTACTAAACTACTTTGTTCGAACACATCTCTTGTGTTTGAATGGGACGTACTCCATTTTTGCCAGCTGACACGAATGGATACTTTTTTAATTATTTCGAATAGCAGTAATGTCAATTGTTAGTATAAGCCTTTTAGTTTACGTTGAGTTACACAGAGAGTAGGAGGTACATCAACGTAACAGAAAGTCGAAAAGTTGGGATCAAAAGAGTGATTTACAGATGAAAAGAGACGGGCAGACATAGAGGCAGAGAAAAGGTAAGATGACTTTTGTAGACGCTATCGAATATGACATGCAATGCGGTCATGATAGTTTGAAATCAGATGTCAATTGCCTCTTAATAGACATTGTTGCCCTCAGTTACCCACTCACTCAAATTCAAACGAATTTTGTCAATCGCTCTCATCAATTGCATACTTTCGATTATGATTACTCAATTTCTAAGATGGGACTAACTTGGAATACTGAAGTCAAATAAGTACTTAAAGTTCACATCACTGAATCATTATTCTACTTGTGGCTGAAGGGTGTCGAGTCCTTGGTGGGAGGGTGAAATCGGTGCACGTGAATGTATTGGCCAGTGCAGTTTGGTCTAATAAGTGTAGAGAACCACAGACACATATGTAGGACTGGAAGATGACTGAGGTATATTTTATCTCCAAACGAGAATGACTTGATATTAAGTGGAAGGAGCAATTAAGGTCACTTATCTCCACGTTCTGCAGATGGTAGTAGATCTTCGGTACAAAACTACTCCTGTTTGATAGTAGAAACACCTTTCCTCACATCTCGCTTTAATTTATGGTGACTTCAGATGGGGTGTTTAAACTTCTTCACTCTTTACTGAGTGTACTTCGTGAATTGGAATTTTAGCCAGTGTGCTATATGAATGACCATCCCACTTGAATCAATTTCCTACATCCTCATCTATTCATTCCTTGTAGAGTTGAAAGGTCAAAGTGAACAATGTTTTCATTGAAACGCCCTTTACATCCTCTTTGGAAACTAAGAATCATATATTGTGGAGTTGAAAACTCTGTTAATGCCAAATTCTAACCATAATTTGAACTCCAAGTTTGTCAACAGTTTCCAAATCAGCATAATTAGCATGTAAGATTTTATGGTTTGAGTGTCGAGATACGCGTTGGACTTGACTCAACGAAATAAACCCTGAGCAACGTATAATCATAAGCTAAAAGTCTATAAATCGGCAGTTGGCTTCAAACTACCATTTCACTATCTAACAGATTCACAGCGCTCATCTTACCCTCCTCTGTACCTCCAAACCCTCTCCCTCCCCTCCTCACCCCAATCCTCTCAACCTTTTGAGGCTCAACGTCAACAAAATTGATGACGAAAACTATAACTGTATAAGCAAATTCAGAATGAGTGCTCAGAAACAGACTCTCGTTTTATTAAGATAAAGGAAACAAATTCTATCACGATTTAAACATTGATGACATGAACTCGTTTTTCCACGTTGAAATTATTTGGGCAATTTCCACCCTCCTCATATTCATTGCGACCTGTTCTCCTGTTGATCTAAAGCTAGTTGCCAGCGCATCCGGGTCAGCACCTTAACACAACGAGATGTCTTACTACAATAATTGTGCCATACCATAACAAAGTAGCAATGCTGCTGCAGAAGGGTTGTTATAAATGATAGACGTCATAAGTGGAGTGAAGCCATGGCGGTTTGTATCGCTAACCGAGGCATTGCGAGAAAGAAGATATGAGACCATGTAATCATTTCTTCTTATAATGGCAGATTCCAAAGGGGTTAAACGATTCCCTTGCCTACGATTTATTGGAGCACCGTTATCAATTAAGCATTTTGCTGTCTCGTTGTGGTCATTATTGATGGCCAAGCAGAGTGCAAAGTTCATGTTCATTTTCTTCTTTTCTCTATCTGTCTCTTCCACATTCACCAAGAATTGAAGGATATCCAACCGGTTCTAAAATCATGACATTAAGTGGTGGACTTACGGCGAATGCAGCATAAAGAATCGGTAGGATTTCGGGTCCTTCAAAATATTTATAAACCATTGCTCCCTGTGCAACCAAATAGCGAACCATTTGAATGTTATTTCTATCCACAGCCAAAGTAAGAGGAGTAAAATCGAAGATGTCATATTTTTCTAAATTGCAATTATGTGAAATAAGAATAGAGACGGAAGCCTTATCATTATTGTCCACTGCAACATGCAACGCAGTCCGTCCAAATTCATCAACCCCATTCACATCTGCTCCATTCATCAATAGTTCATTTGCGATGTCATGGAACCTTAGCCTCACAGCTAAAATGAGTGGTGTAATTGTCGGATTATTTGGGAAGACATTTGGATTGACCTAGAAGAATATCAATGTAGTTTGACTTACATTGTTTGCCAGTTGAATTCTCACAGACTCAATGTCATTTCGAGTGATAGTTTCATAAAGTGATTGCTGTGGCTCGGCCATGGAGTGAAAAGCCAAGAGAATATTTGCCACTCAAATATGATCAAATTCATATCGATATTTGGAAATCGAACGAATGAATGTATGGCAAATTTAGAAAATTTGACTGAATACATCTCGAGCAGAATTTAATGAAGCTAATCAAATAGAAAAAAAATTTATCCGACTAAGGTATGGTACTTGAAAGAGTTCAGTGTTTAGGGAGTTGTGTGTTGTTGTTGACAAACCTCCTATCAATCCTGAATTTAAAACGTCAACTGTCAAAGACGTCTCTTTTCTTCCTACTATTGCAACTCCATCTTCTAACCCCTCTCTCATACCAATTTAGTATAAAATTTCTCTATCTCTTAAGAAATTTGCAAAACTATATTGTCTGTGAGCGTGGAAACACACCTAAATTTAACTAATTCTATGTGTCATAATATATTCTGAAAGCTATTGTGGGTCACTTTGTAATTTTATTCGGCATATATCTAATGCATTTATATAGAAAATGTTTTTTTAATAGTTGTTACCAATGATTTGATTCAACAAGATGACGACTTCTATAGAAGTGAATGGGTAAAGGAACCTAATACGATGTGAGACATTGCCAATGTTCCCTTGCCAATAGTCGTAATTGAAATATTGATAATCGCAAAACGAGATTGGCTTAAGTTATGACGCCTCAATATCCCATTTCCTGATTTGTACAACCGGATTCATGGATGATCTAATTTCCCAGGTAGTCCTGTTTTATTGACTGGTCTGTATATCATTGACCACAGAGCATTTATAACGTCTCAGCTCAATACAGTTCACTCAAGTTCAAACTGAAAATCGAAGATGTTAATAAGAAGGTATTGATGTTTTCCTTTTATTGTTGGAAGACATCTATTGAATTGATTCAACATGTCAGGACGTGGTCCTATTTTCTGAGTTATATGAAGTGTGTAATGTCGAGAAATGATTGGTCGGTTCGCTTTATTAATAAGTGAAATATCCGATTCGGGCACATCCCATTAAATCCTTTAACCCCCAAAGTAATTTTTGAAAAACTTACCCAACCCCACTCACGCATGTCTAACAGAAGACAGCAGACTGATGTCACTGACGAGATGGGTTTTAGTGGTTTAGGGTGAATGTAGATGTGGATGCCTCAGGGCTCTACTCTCTACATATCAAATTCATAAATAACCTACCGTCTTCTACACTCCAAAAACCAGCCGACTCTCTCTCTCTTCCAACCTCACGTTTCTCCCCCTTCCAGTATCTGCTACTTCTCCCAAAACCCTTTCTACCAATCCTTACTTAGCACTTGCAACAAGCAACGCAGTCCGTCCAAATTCATCAACAACATTCACATCTGCTCCATTCATCAATAGTTCATTTGCGATGTCAAGGTACTTTAGCCTCACAGCTAAAATGAGTGGTGTAATTGTCGGATTATTTGGGAAGACATTTGGATTGACCTAGAAGAATATCAATGTAGTTTGACTTACATTGTTTGCCAGTTGAATTCTCACAGAATCAATGTCATTTCAAGTGATAGCTAAATAAAGTGTTTGCTGAGACTCTGCAATGGTGTGAGAAGCAAAGAGA